GTGACGCTGGTGTGTGTGTGCGCGTGCGCGCGTGTGTGTGTGACTGTGGCCACGTACTCCCTCAATGAGTCTGGCGTTCGCTGAGTCAAACCGTTTTACTTTCCCCGGATAAGTCATAAGTACACCGGATCATTTCTTCTCAAGGATGTTGTGTCATGGCACTCGTGTGCGTTGGATAAGGTTCGAGAAGAGCCACATCAGATTTTGTCATTTGTCAGATTCATTATGTATTTATTTATTTATTTTTTTTTTTTTTTACAAATAATTTCATGGTCGATGATGAAGCGAGACAAGGTCGTTTAAATCTGACTGGTGACCACTAGGGGGCAGTAAGGTGTTACGTGTCGACACACAAATTTGCAGCAAACCTGACTCAAGCAGTCGGTTGAAGACATCGCGATGAGCCCCAGTTGACAGTGAGCATGTCAAGGCACAAACCAAAACAAAGTCAAAGCAATTGTCTGAGGACCTCCAAGAAATGATCGTCTCAAGGAACAAGATCTGGTCTACCGGTACAGAAAACAGTCTGATGGTTTTGAAGGTCAAAATGAGCATAATGGCCTCCGTCATCCGTAGGCGGGAGAGGTTTGTAACCACCAAGACTCTTACTCGAACTGGCCGCCTGTTTAAGCTTGGTGATCAGTTGGGAAGGACCTTAGTCAAGGATGTGACCGAGAACTTGATAGTCAGTCATGTGACCGGTCGGAACCCCGACATTCGTAAAAGAGACGATGCGGCCTGCCTGGAGTTAGCTCCAAGGCACCCGAAGAAATCTCAGAGAATGAGAAATAAAATTCTTTGGTCTGAGACGATCCAGGATTGATGGAAAAAAAATGATCACCGGACAGACATTTCCTGCCACGGAGCGCTCAGACGGGATGACGACGCTTGGTCCGCAGCCAGATATCCAAACGAGTGGCTTTTCCGGACAAGTCTGTGAATGTCCTTGACCCAGACATGAATCCGTTTTGAACAAGATTTGAAAAATGTCTGCGCTCCGAACTTCCGCCTCCAACCTGATCATAGTCAGACTTTAGGCCATACTTGCTTCCAACGGTGAATCAAAAAAAATGTATTGAGCAAAGGTCGAGAATGCTCATATACAGCACATACGATTTCTGAGTTTGTATTATTATTTTTTTAAATCCATTTTCAGTTCGAAAATGGATTCATGTCTTGAAAACTGAACAGAGAACTTGTAGATCCAAAGAACATGAGACACGCAGACACAATCGTGTGATTTCGCCCAAGACAAAATGTCGCAACAGGCTCCAAGTTCTTGTTGAAAGTCTTCCCAGAAACCAAAGCCAACTCCAAATATTTTTTTTTCCCTCTCCATTTCCACTTTGTAAGTGACATGCTGAGGGTTTCCAGTTTTCCATCCGTCTATTTTCTGCGCCGCTCATCCCAGTCCAGTGTTCGGCCGTTAATCACAGAGTCGAGACCCGACTTCTTACACTCACATTCACACGGTCACAGAAGTCAGGCAGGTGAACGACTATACCGGTCCCTGACTCGGTTTCCAACACAACGTTGGAATTCAAAGAGTTCAGTTGTTTAGCTATAGCGAGAAGATGAGCAAACCTCTATGAATAGAATTTGGACTGATGCTAGTTTTAGAATCCACCCCCCCGCCCCCCGCAAACACTCTCCAACTCTTCTGTCTCTATTTCTTTCCAGTGAATTATAAAAGCGGGGGTAGTTCAAACAAAAAAAAAAATATTACCTAGTACGTAAAAGATGAATGGGAAGTGGAGGGAAAAAAATGGCGATGCAACTCACGGCTAACGAAGCAGATGATCCGTGACATTTTTAATCTCCTCTATTTATCTTTCTCAAGGGGAACATCCAATAAATCTCATTTTGACCAAGTGGCTCGTTCGAATCCAGCCCGCGCGGCGGTTTGATGTGAGCGTAATAAAAAGCACCGATTGTTAATTTCCAGAGCGCAAAATGCCGATCGCTCACTTGTTGAAATCATGCCGACATTCCACACATGGGGAAGTTAGGAATGAGGCAAAAATTGATGACTTTGGTTGTTATTTCCCCCCAGCCGGTGTGTCATCAACAGAAATGTTGTGTACGGGTTTTTTTTTTTGCATGCGTCAGCCAATCATTCCGGTGACAACCACAAAAAAAAATGATAGAAAAAGTATATAATGCCCTAAATGATTCATGCACGGAATAATTTGGAGTTAAAATTCTTTTTTATGTGTTGAAAGGGTCTCTTCTGAAAAAGGATCACATGATCAAATCATCATCCGTGTGCATTTAAATTAATGGAATGAATTCAAAAAACAAACAAACAAAAAAACAACAACAGTCTTTACTACTCTGAGCAAGCGAGCTAATGAATAATTTTAGTGTGATTTCCGGATCAGTTCAATTCACTACTTGGCTATTTGTGCAAAATACGACAGAACTTTGATCAGAGCAGACTTTGACATCCCTTCCGACTTGCATTTACGCTCGACGTCAGATACGAAAACATCCAGATCCGCAAGTATGGATCAAACCTTCCAGAGATGGGATTAAAAGCTAATCAGTTACAGCAATCATGGATACCAATGAAAAAGAAATACTCCTTGACATGCTGAGGTGTTCGTGAGCCTCAAAATGCTTTACTCTTTCGAATCCGAGCAGCGCAACGAGCATAAATGAGCCTTCGGGGCTTTGTTTCCCGATACCTGTGGAAAATATGACTGTATAACGTGGCGGGGCTTGCTGTTAGCCAGTGTCAAATATTTACTTGGTCATTATAGCCACCTGTCTCACACCAAAACACACACACACGCACACACACACACACACACACACACACACACACACACACACACACACACACACACACACACACACACACACACACACCACACACAAATTTCAGACTTATGAGGACTTCCAACCGCGGCTACCATGATCGAAATATACCCAAACACAAAAAACAAGTTACATTAAGTATATGCAGGTCAAATGGACTGTAAGTCTCAAAAGTCTTAAGTTAATGTCTCAAAAATCGAGCAAGCCATGTTGAATGAGTTAAATTGAACAAGTTATGAGTCAAGTCGCTAGTGTTAGCGATGTATCTCGTGTTAGCTAGATGTTTCGAATGTTCCCAAGCTATTTCTTGATTGTCTCTTTGGTTAAATGCGGAACTGACACGGAGCTTGTTTTTCTGTCTCTAAAATGCAGATTTTCAAATGCTAAGTTATTGAGTTCGAGTCTTGTCCTTCATAAATTTCAGCTAAGCGGGTCCCGCGTCTTAAAATTGGTGACTTAAGTCTGACTCGAGTCCTCCCCCCTCTGCTCAGCTCTCACCACAAGTGAGTTTCTAGAAACATGTCGTCTCGCATTAACCCTTGATAGATGACGCAAGAATTCAACCCTACGATTGTTACGTCGGCGAGCGATATTTATTGACAGGTTAAATACGAAGAAGCCTCGAACGGATCCAATAGCCAATCAGAAGTAGCCGCACGATAAAAGACGCCGCCGCCACACAATGATGACGACGACCGCTATACTTTACGGCCCAAGCCAACTGGTGGGTATTTTCGACGACGCAGCAGAATGTAAATAAACACATACCATTTAGTCACGGGTCAAAAGCCAGCAAACCTTCCCTGGCAACAGTGCGCTATTACTTTACGATGCTAGGTCACAATTAGCGGCTGACCACAATGTATATGCGGTATGTGCTTGGCCACACTTTCAGCGGGAAGATGATGTAAGATGTGTGTCGTTGCTGAGGAGTCCCTCAACTGCTGCAATCCCCATAAAATGAATGAAATGTGCAGATTTTTTTTTATGTGCCCCTTTAAGTCGCCGCAAAATGAAAATAAATGTTTGTAGATTAATAAATGTTTTTTGGGATAAGACACATCACAGAGAAGAGTGATTGCTAGCAACCTTGACAAACATACTGTAATTTTTTTTTTTCCAAGAATTTGAAAATGATGTTACTAAATCATGAAAACTCAAGCCATTGTCTCCGCTCTCAAATGCTGCGGGTGTGTCTGTTGAATGCACTCCAACCACATCCCGCTAAGCTCTACTGCGGCCTGATTAAAGCTAGACAAAGATCAGTGCACTTCCTGCAGTCCCCTCACTCAACATTTGATTTATATGATTACATAATCAGCCTTTGAAATTCATGATCATACAAAAACGAAAATAATGAACCCTTTCAGGGACAGCGGTTACTACAGTGGACAGCGTATCATGTTATTCGGTGACAGGTTCTCATTATTGGTGCATGAAAGGGTTAGATAACGAAAGACAATTTCTGGCCAGCATGTTTGCATCGTAGTCCAGCCGTTTATCTAATAAAACTGCATCATCATGGAAAAAAATAATAAATTGTGGCGATAGCCTGAAGGGTGCGTGGGCGGGGTCGGGTGGGGGGTGATGGTAGTGGGCAGGACATGATCGAGGAATTCAATTATTGACTATGAAAGCTTGACGTGGTTTTTTTGTCGTAGAAGGCAGCCAAAGCAAAGTCAACAACGGCCAAAGTCAAACATCGGAATTGTTAAAACAAGCGAGAAATCAAAATCGGACTTTCAAGCGTAGCGCATGCATCCAGTTAGCTGCGGGCAGACGTTCAGCACACGTGCGCTCATCGTTGACGTGATTTTTGTTCGAGTAACCTCATGATTTGTTGGAGCCATTTTTGTTCCACGGTGAAATGATTATAAAATGCTCAATAATTTAGAGTTGATGTGTTCCTTAAACTCTCCACCAATTCCTTTTCATCTAAGGGTGGCCGTTTATCACAGCACTCTGACAAGTCCAGTAACTTGAATTTATGCACAGTTATTTGAAATGATTGCGGAATTTGGACTTGTCACAAGCTATGCCTGAAAAAAAAAAAATCCCGAACTAGTATGTTTCTCTAATTCTTCCTCTTCGATCTTCATTGTGTTCTTTGGCCGTTCCCATTGTTTAGAGTATTGGTCAATCCAATTAGCGCTCTCAAAACAAACCTTTTTTTTTTTTCCATGTTGGCGAAGAGCAACCAGCAGCTGCAGTTAATCTTGATCACTGACAAGAAGCTAATCAGGCTTGGCCTTGTCAAAAAAAAAAAACAAAACATTTGAGAACATTCAGCATAAAGCTTTTGGGTAAATGTATTGTGATTATTGTGTGTGGGTGTATTGCTGCATCCTGTGTTGATTAAATATACAAATAAATAGGGCATACGTGTAATATCATTCCCGTCTGAAAAGGGAGCGGCTCAAAATCATGATTTAAAAACACCCCAAATTTTTCAACATTCATGCCAATGATGAGGGCATGGGAACTTATTGCCCACCACGTGCATATCCTGTTTTATGCACCCCGCAACCTAACCGAATCCAGACGCTAGTCAAAAAACGCCGTAGTCTATCACAAGCACGATGCTAACACAATAGCCAAGTCAGAAAAAAAACAGTAACTTGTGTAAAAAAAAAAAAAAAAAATGTACTTGGTAGCAAGCCTTGCGGAACGCCACCAGTTTTCTACTGTAATGCCATGTCATTGTGGCATTTATGTAAAATATAGCGTACAGTATTTCGCAGTTTCTGTGCCCTCTAAAATGCCACAAGATGGCACCAAAGGCCCCTTCTTGGTTTCAAGGAACGAAAGTCTGTTGAAGAATGAAAAGTGTATGAAAAACATAAGTCATGGATATAAAGCAATCAAATAAAAAAACAGGAGGCACGGCAGTCACTGTGTGGCCCTTCTCCTGCCAGGCTTGTAAACCGCATGCCCTTGGAAACCTCAAAACGTCATATGTCGATACCGTCGTAAACCGAAGACCACCGCCAATGTGACAATGACCGACAACGTGCTCCTCACATGTGCCTGCTGGCGTCGCTCGCAGAGTTGGGAGAGGTCGTTATCACTTCCAGGAAACTTGGGCTGTGCCACTTTCTTCTGAAACCGGATCGCCGACGTTGACATTATCTCTGGCAAGATCCATTTATTGCTGGGGGGGAAGACGAAGAGTTCTTGCGGGAGAACCAGAGAGTACAGACGCTTGCTTTCAATCCGCCGGTGGTCTTAAAATGCTGCAAACACACAATCATGATGTCTTACCACTATTGTATTGTAAAGTAGTCATCAATGTTTGATCAGAGTGGTCTTAGTAAGTCTGAAATTTGGCTTTCTTGATCTTGCAGGTACCCTTGCTTGTGTGACACGGTTCCAGCGCTCGCGGGAGGACGCTCTTTGGGGGGAGGTGGTCGGCGAAACGACCCGAGAGAGCCTCTCATTTGTGGTGCGCTGCGTCTGCTAAGCTGCCAATTGGGTTCACATGCCATTCCGGAGAACCTTGAGGGCGATCTGGTGACAGCGGCACTTGGCTTGCTCGTAGTCGAGGCTAAAAGGAGATCTTAGATGCCTCATGGGAGGTTCGACGGAGGGTGGTGGGGGGGGAAGGGAGTGGGTGGTGCCTACTGGAAATGTCAATGGGTTTGTGCCCCTTGCGACTGAATTCATGTTGCACAAGGAGTTAAGTGCAGCTTGTTGGGCTTTTATCTGCTCTTGAAGCTTTACCTGTCCAACCATCCATGTATCCATTTTCTAGTCCGCTTATCCTCATGAGCGTTGTGGTTGTGCTGGAGCCTATCCCAGCTGTCTGCGGGCAGCAGGCGGGGGGACACCCTGAACTGGTTGCCAGCCAATCACAGGGCACACATAGACGAACAACCAACCGCACTCACACCTAGGGAGTGTTCCATTAACCTGGTCTGAATGTTTTTGGAATGTGGGAGGAAAACGGATTATCCGGAGAAAACCCACACAGGCACGGGGGGGAACATGCAAAGTCCACACAGGAAGGCTGGAGCCGGAATCGAACCCTGGACCTCTGCACTGTGAGGCCGACGTGCTAACCAGTCACCCACTGGGCTGCCCATCTATTTTTTTCCTGTGCACTTTGGGCAAAGTAGTACCAGCTCGCATTGTCGCAAAGCCCAGGCTCAACCCGCGGTCGTCATGGTAACAAATACAATACTTGGCATTGGCCTTGCAGGGGAGGGGGCGGTCCCGTCTCATGCAAATGAGGCACTTGTCACCCTGCCTCCTCAAAATAGGTTAATTTCTGTGAAATTGCTTCGGTTATCTGTACGAAAAGATTTCCGGTAAGTAGGAAATACAAGGAACATTGTATAAAACAGATGATTCACAAGCCAATTCCTCCCGAACGGTTTCCATGAATTGGATGAATGTTTGATTAGGCTTGGAAGCCTGTATGCATAGCGAGTGTGAGTGTGTGTGTGTGTGTCCTGTTATCTGTTCGTCCTTGAGTTTCAGTTTGCCAGACAAACCAAAAGCCTGCATGTGGGAGGAGTCAGGCTTTCCCCAAATCCGTTTTGGAAATGTCTGTCTGAGAGCTCGTCCTGGAAAAAAGTCTTTGCCTTACATCGCATTGTGCTTCTGCCATAAAAATCATCAAAACATTTTCTTTTGGTTGAGTCATTTGATGCATTTTTACTTTATTTCTTATTTCTTATTTATCCATGTTCAAAACTTTTGACCCGAGGTATGTGCTTCCAAGCTGCAACTGTATTGCTGACGTTGCATTGCCTCAGCTGTCAAATTCGACATGGCAAAAAAGGGGGGGTGCGATGACTTTTATTCTTCCGTGTGGACCAGCTGGCAAGGTTTCCACTTATTTTATTACGTTCAACATTTCAAATTGAAGGATTGCGTTTGCATACTTTTGTTGAGAAAAAAACGACAGGAAGCATGTTTCTCTTTCCCCTCATTGTCTATAAAGATAAAATCTTCGTCATAAATTCAGACCCCACCCCCACGCCCTCGTGTAAAAGCCACAGCGACCATGAAAACAGCTGCACGCTGCGATTTGAACACGGCAGGTTCACATTAAGTACATGTGGTGATGTAACACTTTTCCGAATGTCGCCACACACTCGGCGCGCTCACTGAGCAAACAGTCGTGCGCTGCCGTTCAGTGTGATTTGTGTGGCACACCGCTTGACTATGCGACACTTGCACTTTGTATCTTTGCGATGACACGGAGATCTCCATCGCTTCGAGATGGGCGGGGCAAAGGTGCTCCATTTCCTCTTGGGATTTGAGGAAATACATGAAAATCCTCCAATATGGCACTGGAAAGAGATTAAATGTAATCCACTTATAGTTTCAGATTATCACCCTAATGTATAGGCGATATACTGTGTGATCACAACACGACATTTAATACGACAAGGTCACACATGATGCCTGTGGAACGTAAAGACTAATAAAAACACTTGAGAAACAAAACAAATCCTGATGTGTGTTATTATTATTTGTGCACGAAAGGGTTCATGTTGTGTCACCAACTACAGAGGTTAAAATGTCACAAGCCTATTTTGACAACGTAAGAACTAGAAAAGTACAGAAGAATTTTATGTACAGTAACAATTTCCACTTCGTGACTTCCCACCATTATTGATTACACAGTGAACATAAAAAAAAAAAAAAAAAAAAAAAACCCTTAAGGCTACCCCTACCCTTCACGTGTATAGTTTGATGGCTCAACCATGCGAATGTAATCACATGTAAATGATTTAAGCGGTCATGAATAGGCCGATTTTAGTGAGAACACGCCGGGAATGTCTTAATCTCACTTTATCACGTACCTCGCTGCTAATCTCGTAGAAACGTCCGCTACTCTCGGTCCAGACGTCTCTCGCTCCCCATCCATTCCGTGACGGATGGTATTATAGTTCTTAAAATAAAAGACAGACAGCACATTTAACTTTTACACGTCCAACTGATTTATTTTGTACTCTTCAGACATTTGTTGAAGTGGCTGTCAAGCGCCCTACCATAACATCCATGCATCCATTTTCCGATCTGCTTTATCCTCACGGGGGTCGAGGGGGGTGCTGGAGCCTATCCCAGCCGTCTTGGGGTAGTAGGCGGGGGACACCCTGAACCGGTTGCTAGCCAATCACAAGGCACACAGAGACGAACAATCATCCATGCTCACACTCACACCTAGGGACAACATGATCGCGACCATGCAAATTCGCTACGGTGATGCTCACACTCTTCTTCTACGTCACGGGTTCAAATACCGCTCTTAACTTTGTATTTCTATGTTTCCAATTTTTTTGTAGCCAGTCGGAAGTTCTAAACGAGATGTTTTGTTTCACGTGAGGAATTGAACAGGTGTGCAATTGAACAATTTCAACGTATCTGGTGTCGAATCTGCAGGAAGGAAACATAAAATGACTGGACTCCGGAGCCAGTCAATTTGGAAGCCAGTTAGTTGAACCATTCACACCGGTTTTAACGTTTGACTGACGTTAGCAAGCATGCTAAATGTTTGCGTTGCTCTAATTAACGATTTACTGCTGCCTTTTTTGCTTAAAAACACTCACATAGTTTGCATTTTATTCCTCGCCCCACGAGATTGTATTACTAGTTAGCTGTTACTAAATGCGTATTGTTGAAAAAGTACACAAATGACATTCTGGCAAACTGAAAGCAACATTTTGATCGTTTCTTCCTTGTCCCGTAAGTATATCCATCGACACACTCTTGCTTTGTACTAGTTAACTGTTACTAAATGCCACGTACTATTTTTTAATAGATTATATTCATAGCAAGGTGACAAAACGACTGTTCGGCCCGTATAAATTAACGATATATTACTGCTCGGTTCTCACTGGAAAGCTGCTGTCGAGATTTGCTTAAAAGCATGCATCTTATTTCTTATATTTCCTTTCGTAATAAATTTGCAGATTTGTTATCGATGAAATTTAATATCTGTGTCATGATGTTTTGCTGTCCAGGGACCTGAAAAGCTGTTTATATTTTCCCCGTCACAAGAAAAAGTACATGAAAAGTCAAATGAATCATGGTTCTGCTTTCACGGGCTAGCTGAGCATTTAACTTCAAAATACACTCACTTAGTATTTTCTTTGGAACAAATGCACTCTCATGGTATATACTATTCGCATATTGATGTTTTATAGTCCATAAACCTGAAAAGTTGGTGACATTTTTGCAGTCACAAAAGAAAGTAAGTAGAAAGGTCAGCGAAGCATTGTGTGTTCATTGTTGAGTGGAATGTTGGTCAAAGTTAATTTTGTTCATTCGTAAGGGAAACAAAATGAATTCATGTGACTTCTGGGAATCTAATCGCACGGGAGATAGGAGGAAAGACAAAATCAACTTTGACATAATAACTGCAAAATTCCTCTGATGTGGCTGTAACACCAGAGAAGACACCAGCACGATAAACAAAACAAATCTGGTCAGTGTCACCTCTGTCGAGAGTCACCTATAAATGTGGACGTGAACCAACATATTATGCAATGTATCAATTTAATGCCCCCAAAAAAGCAGCCCGGAAAGTGGTCGCCAAATGATGGAGGGGGTAGGAAAGTAAAATGAAGTGTGTACACTGAAGAGGGGTCTGTCGTATAAAACCAGGCGGTTCATTTAAAAGGCACCGTTATACACGTCAAGCTATCTTTTATTGAAAGTAGAATATAGCTTGGTGCAGCAGCTTGCATTGAAAGTAGAGAAGCGGGCAAACATCCATCCATCCTTTTTTTTTTTAATCCGCTTCTCCTCACAAGGTTGCGGGGCGTGCCGGAGCCTATCCCAGCTGTCTTTGGGCAGTAGGCAGGGTACACCCTGAACTGGTTGCCAACCAATTACAGGACACACAAAAACAAACAAGCATTCACGCTCCCAATCACACCTAGGGACAATTTGCAGTGCCCAGTCAACCTGCCATGCATGTTTTTGGAATGTGGGAGGAAACTGGAGTTCCCGGGGAAAACACACACAGGCACGCGGAGAACATGCAAACACCACAAGAAGGCATCGACACATAGACAGACCCTTAAAAAAACAAAAAAAAACCCTGATTTTTAAAGCGGGAACGAGCAGTGATAAAAATATTAAATAAAAAATGTTTAACGAGGGAACGAGCAGTGATCATAATGTTAAAACGTGACACATTCATCAACCTCGTTGGAGTACAAAGTGATTTGTGGTGGATCACATAAGTGCCAAATTTGTTTCCCCAATTTCTTGTGATTTCTTTTTTTTTTTTTTTCCTCCTATAACAAGGCCACTTTTGTGGCTCATAAACAGAGACGACAGCTACCATTTAGGGGGTACAAATAAATGAATGATCTTGGTTTCCAGAGGTTTGGAAGACAATTTGGACATTTGATTTTTGGTTTTATGGAGCCAAATGTCAGCTGCATGGTGCACTGCAGCTGTGTGAAGCACTACACCAGCAATGGCCACAACTAGAATTTAATTTTGTCTCTTTTGCATTCCAGGAAACCAATTCATCGGTCGTTTGGTGATTCATGAATGGAGGGATCCAGGGTGTAGCACACCTCTCACCCATTCAGTCGACTACCCGGAAATATACGGTAGGGAGTTATTCCCTTCTCCTTGATCTCAATTACTCTTTTTTTTTTTTGCCCCACCTGTGCACTCTAAACGTCCGTCTGATTATTCCCCGCCGCCCTCCTCCCACCTCGTGACCCAACGAGGGCATTTTTTTCCCCCGTGTCACTGTCGGTTACAAATGTGGGTAAATATAGATTAAAGGCACGGTACGTGTGAGTGAGCACATATTATACCTGACCACGCCGTAGACACGCCTGTGAGCAGGGCTCGGTGCCAAGTCGTGATTAGAGGCTTTTATATCCGCATTTACCTGCTGGGAAGCACGTTTACCGCCTCGGGTCTTGACGATTAGTCTCGCCTGTCTCCATGGTTTCCTGTGTCACAAACGCAAAGGTCACAGCCCGTTTTCAAGAGGGCAAAGATTTTTTTTTTCCGAATGATCGAAGTGGTTCCAAATAAGACAACAAATAAATCTTGGAGTGAAGAAAGTCAAGAATAAAGTCACAACTGTATAAGAATATATTTTTTTATGTGTGTGCGCATATATTATTCTAATATATTTTTAAAATTATTATTGTTATTATTATTATTATTATTATTATTATTATTATTATATATTTTTGCAAGAATTGAGTAATATATTTTCCAGGAATAAAAGCAGAATTTATTGAGCAGAACAAACAGTTAAACACACAAATACAAGATGAGAAAACTGCCAGTTCCATCTCATGGCATCACTAGGCCGCACCCCTTAAAGGCACACGTCCAAACCCCCAAGACTGTTTGGTGTGTTTGCCGGGGAATTTTTTTTCAATGACATTTCAGTTTATTTGGGGAAAAGCTTTCTTCAGTGGCAAATCTTTGCAATTTTTTTTTTCTTTTTTTTTGGTATTTATTTTTTGGGGCAGTGAAAGCACATTTGTCAGCTCCTTCAGTAACAAGCGCTTTTCTGTTACCATTTAAAACCCGCCAGACTGACACGAAACAAGCACAATTAAGCTAAAACAGAGCAGCTCGCTCGAGCCGCCGTTAAATCACAGATTAAATGTTTACGGCATTCTTTTGGGACTCTGTGAAACCAAGAGGGCCCCCAGACTTTACTGGGATTATATGGTGTGCTTTATATATATATGTAGGTATGCATGTAAAGAGAGGGGAGCTAATCCGACCAGGAAGCAGCAGGGTCTCCGGGGCTTAGAGGGAAACCGGTTTCAAAACAAACATGGCCAAAGATCTCCAAAAGGTCCACTTAAAGCACATTCAGAAGGCTTAGATTGGTGCCATGGGGCCTGCAGATCAGCTACTGCTCAAGTGTTACTGAGCAAGTTGCTAATCCCGCAGCGATAACTAACAACTTTAAAAAAAAAAAAAAAAGGAAAAAAAAAAGCTTTTCATATCAGCAGCAAGTTGTCATTTTATTATTGATGATAGAGGCACGCCTTCGAACCTTGTGAAGTTCCCAACGGAGGGTTCAAGACTAATCACGCCAAATTGTCTTAATGACTCACACTTTTCACATGACCCGCTCTCATCTGACGACCTTGTTGTAAAAAACGTCTCGCACGGGGGCCCCCAGATGCTATTGGCACGTCACGAGCCACAGCTGCTCCCGCTGCAACGTTGCTCCTGGCATGACCACTCGAATATTTCCACTCAGACTTTGCACTTGGCAGTCACGAGGCGCCTCGTCCGACCGTCTTTCAGGGGGATAAGAGCGCTGGAATTTATTCAGGAGACTTCAGAACCTCTTAAGAGTTGTCGTCTTTTTTTTTTTTTATTTTTTATTTTTTTAAAACGCCGCCTCCAAGCGTACCGATTTCTGGGTGCCATTTGATCATTTTGCACCCCTTCTGATCAAAGCCAGGAAGAGACTGAATGTCAGATGTCTCGCAAACATTATCCTGAGTGATTATCTTGTGAGGTGTGTTGTCCCTTTTTTTTTTTTCTTGAAGTGCTTTTCTCTTCGACATATCATCAGCAAATTTGAAGGTATCTCATTATGAGAGCTTGAAATAAAATGAGTGAACCCGTTTTTGTCCGTCTCAGGTGGCGGCCATTTTGCCACTTTTTTTTTTGTCGTCTGAAAATGACATCACAGTTCGGTCCATTACGTGAGCTCCGAGCAACTGTGATGTCATTTTTAGGTTGATAGAAAGTGGGAAAAATGGTCATCCCCAGAGATGGATGAAAAAAAATTGTGGATTTTGCTGCTTAGCTCATATTCCACAAACACAATTCTAATCACGATGCCGTTTTTTTAGACCCGCAGAGGTTCATGTGACATATTATTCTCTAGAAAGTTTCGGGGGTTGATTTCAGATCTGGCCCCCGGGCCTTGAGTTTGACATCTGTGTTTTTAGGCGTCGGAAAGAAAACACCACACAAGAACCTTTTTCTGTATTTTATATAAAAACAATATAATTTGAAAATAAATATGCTTTACCGTTTTACATGGACACATAGAAACAGGTTATTAGTGTCGGGACAAAACAACAAATAGGAGCTAATAAATCAGGTTTCTAAGACTGATGGCGGAGGTTGTTGTTTTCTGGATATATTTCGAACATGTGGTGGTGGTAGTAGTGGTTTTTGTAGCAGTAGTTTTTTTTTTGTAATTGCGCGTTGCAGGACGGACAACACACACGTGGTACTTCCTTACATACACCTCGACGCAGATGCTAAAAGTTGAACACACACGTTGCTTAATTCAGGTGTCCTCCTCGCTACAAAGGAACCATTTAGGGAATGTTAGTAAATATCTGATCTTTTTTTTATTTTTATTTTTTTCTGGTTGGCAATTTTTTTTTTCTGTTATATGTGTAAAAAATAAAACAAAATAAAAGCACAGGAGAATCCTTGCCAAACGGGACAGTCGCCGGGAGAGTTGGGACACAACACTGCATATATAAATAGAGCGCATTAAATATGGGCAATAAAATGAATACTGAAAAATACTCTATGACATTATAAATTATCTAGAATGGGCTATGGCATGAATGGATAATATTAGATATGTACAAGTTCAGAGAGGACGTGTAATCAAAGCACTACTGCGTTAAATCCCCATTTTCCTGGAAAAAAAAGGAACAAATAATTTATAAAGCACTTTTTCTGAGTCTTTTTTTTTTTCTTTCTTTTTCAAGCGAGGCACTGGTTTTCCCGATGGAATCAAACTACAGTAGAGTTTTCATTCAGTGGTTTTTTTTCTTTCACGCCAGATATAATAGCACATTGGCTTGCAGTATCCCTTTCAAGGCACTCCTTGTGTCGTGTGCTGAAAATGTTCCCCCCACCCCCTCCCCGTAGGAAAAAAAAGCAGCCGTCTTTAGGAAGAACCCTCACCCGCTTTGCCAGTAAAAGCAGACATCCGTGTGTGAATCCACGCCACAACGCTCTTCCTCCTTATCCTTGTCGTCTTAAAGCCGTCTTAAAACTCCAAGCCTTTTTTTTTTTTTTTTTTTGTGCACCAGCACAGTAGACTCGCATCCAGTGAAGTAAAAGCAACAGGGTGGTTAGAAGGCGCTTCCATCAAATGATATATCATTTTAGTCGTTTGATTGTTTTTTGTGTGTGTGTGTGTGTGTGTGTGTGTGTGTGTGTGTGTGTGTGTGTGTGTGTGTGTGTGTTTTTTGTAGCAGCAAACAGTTGTGTGGTATGCTGGCCTACACGCACACGCGCACGTGCTGTAGATATACACTGGGAGGCAAACTGTCCGTCTCTCTCTGAAAGTCCGGAGTGGAATGCTTTCCACAGAAAAAAAGAGCTTTCGGGTCCAAAAAAAAAAAAAGAAAAAATGGCAAAGTGCTGTGCTGTGAAATATCCGTCGTATTACGTTCTAATAATAGAACGGAGTATTCCTTCATCTTTTGTGTGCGGCGCTCCTCCTCCCTCATCTTCTGGGCTTGTCACATCTGAAAAAAGGGAAAAAAAAAGCCAAGTCAGACACCCATTTAAGCGTAGTCACGGAGACTTTTTAAGCACGTTGTAAAAGTACTTGAGCACAGAAAGGAAGTTGACGGCGTAAAATGTCGAGAAAATATGGTGTGTGTGCGTGTGTGTGTGTGTGTGTATATATATATATATATATATATATATATGTGACTTGAAGAGCTAAGTGGGGGGGGTGT